CCAGCAGCAGCAGCAGCACCAGCAGCAGCAGCAACAGATACAGCAGCAGCAGCAGCACCAGCAGCAGCAGCAGCACCAGCAGCAGCAGCAGCAGCAGCAGCAAAACATCGTTTTAGTGCAGCTCCCCTAGCAGCATCAGTATTTTCTGAGGCAGCGAAGGGTGCAGCAGCAGCAGCAGCAGCAGCAGATGCACTAGCAGCAGCAGCAGCAGCAGGAAAAAAACCACAACCATCACCATCATCATCAGCATCACCAGCAGCAGCAGCAGCAGCAGCAGCAGCAGCAGCAGCAGCAACACCTGTTGCTCTGGTTGCAGCACCGCGAGGGTTTTGTGAGGGTGTAAGAAGAGCTGTCGGTACAGTCGAAGAAGCGTTGAGGGTTTACGGGCCCCCCATTTATGTAAACCACCAAATCGTACATAATGAATATGTTTGTAATCAACTACAGGTAAACCCTAAACCCTAAACCCTAAACCCTAAACCCTCAAAAGTATTAAACTCTTACACTTTCTAGCTCCTAAACTATAAACCCTAAACTATAAACCCTAAACCCTAAACCCTAAACCCTAAAACGTTTCTAACGCTTGCGCTCTCTAACCCTTAAAATATAAACACTAAACCCTAAACCCTAAACCCTAAACCCTAAAACCTAAACCCTCAAAAGTATTAAACTCTTACACTTTCTAGCCCCTAAACCCTAAACCCTAAACCCTAAACCCTAAAACATTTCAAAGGCTTAAACGATCTAACCCTTAAAATATAAACACTAAACCCTAAACCCTAAACCCTCAAAAGTATTATACTCGCACACTGTCTAACCCTTAAACCCTAAACCCTAAACCCTCAAAAATTTTGAACTTGCACACTCTCTAACCCGTAAACTATAAACGCTAAACCCTAAACCCTAAACCCTAAACCCTAAACCCTAAACCCTCAAAAGTATTAAATTCTTACACTGTCTAACCCTTACACTATAAACACTAAACCCTAAACCCTAAACCCTCAAAAGTATTAAACTCTTACACTCTCTAACCCTTAAACCCTAAACCCTAAAACATATAATATAATATAATATATAATACCCTATATAACATAAAATATAAAACAGAATATAAAACACAAAATACACCCCAACAAAGCCAACAAAAAAAAACAAACAAATAAATAAATAAATAAATAAACAAATAAATAAACAAACAAACAAATAAATAAATAAATAAATAAACAAACAA